TCATTGAATTTTTTTACATCATGAAATATTTACCAAAAATTTATCCAATAGAATTTTTATCTTTCAAATACAAATAAATCCAACGGAATTATTTTAAGAATTTATTTTACATAAGAAGTGGATTGATTTTAAAAATGTATAGAGCAGTAGAGAAATGTAATGAGTTCGTTAAAATTATCTTTAAAATATTATGATCCTCAAAAATATTCTTTGTTATAAATCTGTATGAGTAATTATTAAATTTGATATTTTGTTGTATACAAAAGTCATTATTTAAACTTCCTTTTTTATTTATACGCCATATAACTAATCGATTTGTCGTAATTACTACTGCTAATAGTCACCGGAAAAATTCATATCGACCATAAATTTTTCTTTTATATGAAGCCTATTGTTTTACACACAATCGTATCACAGCTTCATTGTCTCCATTTTTCAATGAATCATTCACAAAACATTTCACGATATTTTTTATTTTATTTCAAATAATCAACCCTCACATTTATTAATTCATTTCCTTACTCCAACAGAAAAAAAATAGTTTTCTATTACAACAAATTCATTTACATCAGAGTTTTTTTGTTTTCAATAAAAACCAACAAATTCTTGTTTTTTCTATTCTTCACCTATTGACATATTTTTTATTTCAATTGAAGAACTCATTTAATTTAAAACATCACAAAATAAAATCAACTCGCTTAACATTGAGAATAAAAACGAGATACAAGAGAAAGCCAACGTAAACATGTATCTCGATAGAGACGAGTAAATGAATGTATTTGCTAGAAATTTCACTAAACACCAACGAGAGCAGAAACATTTAAACGGTCATACAATAGACAAAAACAGTGGTAGAATATAGAGACAGAGATTGAATGTAGTATGAATACGAAATTCAGTTGTTTTATGACTCAAATCAAGCTTTTGGGATGAATAAAAAGCTTTAATACTCGTTGTTAAACGGACACTTTTCAAGAATTCATTATCAATATTTATTTTATTTTTTGTATCTAGCTTCATAACTCTCTTAAGTTATTTTGAGATAAAGTAAATGCTACCATTTTAAATACTTAGGTATTTAAATGGTACAAAAAACAATTATGAGCCTGACAATAATTGAATTAACAAAACTAACGGTTTAATTATCTTGAAAATGGTAATGATAATATTTCGGAATCATCATTTTTATAACACTTTTATTTTCGAGCTTTTTATTATAAACAAAAATATACTCGAAATAAAGTGGGATAAATTTGTCATTCTATTTAACTTTTATTGGAAATAATCATTTTTATACAAATAATTAATTAATACTTGTTTTTTAGTAGAAGACTGTATTATAAATCAGCCTTATTAACTTTATCCTTTGTTTATGTTTGTTATTTCTTTCTCTGTCTCGTGCCCTTGATAAACATGAGAAAAATTCCAAAAGAATTTTAATCCTCTATTATTGTGTCGACTCTGAGCTTTTTTGTCTACTGGCCTAGATAAATTTGCAAAGGATTCAAAATACCAAATTCTTTGAATTTTATAAAACTTTTCTCAATGCTTGAATGAAGTAGTACTGTAGTCTGTAGATACCTTCAGATGTTTATAATCTTTCTTTAAATCTAATACTTCTCTATAACTAAATTATTATTTGATTCAATTTATTTATTTGGAATTTTTTAAAGCAATGATCAACTTATTTCATTTTAAATTATTTTTTAAGTATTGAGTAAAATAGGCTAACTTCCTATCCTTGAACCCAAGTAGAAGTTGAGGTTTTTTTAGCCATCACGTTGAAAGTTACTTGACTTGGGAATCAGCAAAAAAAATATTAAAAAAATATATACCTTTTAGGTAGGCATCTTGATGTCCTAAATATACATGTGCCTTTGAAATTAACTAGAAAAATGTGGATATATATTTCTAGTGGAAAAAGCAGTGAGTGTATAGGATTGATGTTTTCCTTTCGATTGGTAAGGTAATCATTTACTATCTTGGCCTCGAAGAAGAGGGTCGTAACACACTTGAAATCGAAGTTGTAATAAGATACACCTTGGTAGATTCACAAGACCACAATTGTACCCTCGAGATTACTCTCGAGAGTAAAAAAGGAAAACTCTATCCTTCCACTCAGCAATCTGCTCAGAAATAAAGATGAAACTCGTGAGAATTTTCTCTACATTTAATTTTTATATTAATTCAACTTAAATAATCTTCCATCAATTTATATCGTTTGACATTTATTTTATCGCTTTCAATATTAAATTTAAAAAATTCTAAAAATGGTGAAAATCTTTGGTTTAAAAAGCTCTTGGAAATTCATCGAATTTTTTTCGTACCTCTCAAATATTGGTAATACTAAAAATGACTGTGGAGAAAAGATGAAAATTATTTCATACTGGATATTTTTTATCTATTTAATAATATATATCTTGATTTAATTTCAATTAAATATTCCTACGATTCTATGTCCTCTCATAAAATATAAAAATTTATAATTAATTTTTAATAATAATGAATAATTAATTAACAGTGTTATTTTTACTTCTACGCCTCCATAATTATCATTAAATTATATTTAAATAATGAATCTTTTATATAGAAGAAATCAATTCCCTGTTATTTTAGAATTAATTCCACTGTTAGCTGAAACTAGCTCTTCATTTGTTTAAAAATATATTTCCATTGTGTTCTTATTTTTAAGGATTTTATTACAAATTATTTCGAAAAAATTATTAAGATGAAAATTTACAAGAAAAATACAAAACATGACAGAAAATTTATTAAAACAGTTTCATCAAGAAACAACTTAAATTATCTAATAGATATAATAAATAATGTTACTCAGCTTAAGATGCGTGTATGTTCAAACATTAAGAGCAGCGTAAATGTTGAGAGTTGGAACTTTGTGATGAAAAAGAATTTACTATGACAGAATCCAAACTAACTTTATGCTGACCATCAAAATAAATGCATCAAATGAGAGAAAAAGATCATTAAAATAATTTTTGAAAAATTAATAAATAAATGGAATAAAGTTGGACATAACAAGACGAAATGAATCATATATTATAAACTAAATTGAAAAAATAATAAATAGAAAAACTGATCAACAAGTTGGGAGAAATAAATGGAAATATTACAAATTTTAATGATTCCAGGCAAAGCCAGAGTATTTTACTCGTTTAAATATGAATTTTAGTATTAAACATTAACACTTATAGACAAAATAATACAGGAAAACTTCGAAAACAGCATCAGATAAATCTTGGAAAAAACGTCGGCACAGATGGCAGTGAATAGAAGGTAGAAAGACAAAAATGTGTAAGGGTCGAAGTCGTGTTTAAGTTCTATAGGTCTTCGATGTTTATTTTATTGGTATTCTTTGATGTCCGATTGTAGAAAATATCTGTATATTCTTGTCGACAAAGTTAGAACAATCAATAGGAGTTTTTGTAAAGAAACAAAGCGAAAAAGATGTAGAATGGAAAGAAAACATAGATATATATTGTGTACATGAGTATAAAAAGAAACGAATTACATACAAGAATTTCGAGAAAATCGTCGATTATTTTTTCTCAGTGTTGTAATCCTTGTCACGCTGTCTTTCTTGAAAGATAATCTCAGTTGGCTTTTCTTTCTAACTCGTGCCACGTATATTTTATATCCATCTCCCAGTTTACTCTCGACAGGATCAAACAAAATGCCTCAGACTTTAATTTAACTGTAGAAACGCGGTAACAAAGACATGATACAAAAAAATAATGGAAGGGCATATATTTGACAAAACAAAACAGAAGAATCGCAAGAGAACATTTTTTTTCTGTTTGTTTATGTACAGAAAGGTTTTATCCCACGCCTTGACGCTTTTGCGATTGTCATTAAAAGCTTCTTCACTTTTTTCGCTTCGCAAAATGCATTCTTTTGATTTTTAGTTTCTTTTTTCATAATTGGAACAAAAGACAGTCATGATTGGTTGTCGGATATTTTTATGAAAATTTTTTATAAATGCTCATCACTCTAACTTGTTTCTACTATTTTTTTTTTATTATTTTTTATTCTAATTATATTGTAATTAATGACGTTGAGTCAAACTTTTCCTACAATGTTCAATTATTTACAAAACTTTTTATTTATAAAATAAAAAAAGTGGTCTAGGTATGACCTACGAGGTTACGAAATTAGACCTATTCTAGAAACTTCCCACTGGAAGTTAAAAATTCACCGAAGATATTTTTTTTTTCTCTATATAACCGATTCCTAGCTGCTGTGAATGTAGTGAATGTGGTAAACAATAATTGGAACATGCGAGTTTAATTAGAGTGACATTCTGAAAGTAATAATTTTGATCTGCTTCTCATGTGTTAGAAAGTTTTATTGTTGAGTTTGTGGTTGCCAGGTTGACACGGAGAGTCGGTATCGAGGTAGAGACGATACAGCAAAAGTAATCCCTATTGTTTCTTCTGTCCCATAAATTCTTTCCATTTCGTACCCGTTCGCTTCTATTTCCTTCTTCTCCAAGTATACCTACTTGTCCATCGCTCTCAGACTCCCTTCATTACTTCTACTACTCACCATGACTACTGCTAGTAGAAGCACTTCTTCTCCCTTTCTTTCAGTCCACTATTCTCCGGTCCATTCGTTCCGTTCTCTATCCTTATCTATCTTCATCGAAACCACCTACTTTTTTTTATCCTCCCAAACCCCATCGACTCTCTCTCGGCAGCATGCTCCGTAAATCTCAAACCAGCTGTGCTTTACGACACACACGTACAGCACCCAGTCCCGCCCGATACGATTCTCTTCGGGATATGTCTGCCGCGCCCTTTCTCTCTACTACTCCAACTCTGCTCTCAGAGATTTTCCTGTGCGTGCTGACGTGTTGAAGAAATAAACCTGAAAGATATAAAAGAGACAGTGATGGAAATGTACAATGAAAATTCTGTCTTTTGATCATCCTCTTGGTAATGACAATCTTTTTTTTCATTCTTCTCTTTTTTCTTTTTTTGCAGATCGAGGACGCTATGCTGATGTTCGACAAGCAGACCAGCAGGCACAGAGGTAAGTTTTTATTCCATTTTTCCCAAATTTCGTCTTTTCGGAATTTGATAATTCTTTTTTTTACTTTGGTTCCATTTGAAGCATTTGCATGTGAATTTAAATAGAATAAAATTGAGTGAAGCAGTAAATATGAGCTGTTACCCTTAATCATACCGAAGCATATCAGCCAAGTACCTACAAAATTTTATAGGGCAATTTATACGTGCAAATGTTTCATCACCCAAGAGACTTAACCCCTATTCTCTTCACTTTGTCCGTAATACTTTTTAAAGGACTCTGAGTCGTTATATAATTGCAATATGACTCTTTTAGTAACATAATTATTTAAGATATTCAAAACATTGCATAAAAATTTTATTGACGTTGAAGAAAATTATTTACTTCTCCCGGTGTAGTGAAAAATAAAGATGATAATGGAGCTATAATAGCTCTATGAATTTTTACAATTACACTTCAATCTTTCTTTATAGGGTATTTTTATATTTATGTGTTCTAGATAAATAGTAAATTCTAAAGTATATAAATATACATTTTATTTAATAGGACACTATTTATATAACATTTTCCTAACAAAGTTTAATTTCGTAAATAAAACAAGTAATCTGCAAAACTAAAATAATGATAATTATTTCATCTCTGAAGGATTAAAATTGAAAAAAATAAGTTAATTTAATGAAAAATATTATCGTTAAAATAAATAAAGCTTTCAAGTGATCAGTATTTATTTGTTTTTTTTTTCATAAAAACGATGTGGAAGTGCGCATAATGATTTCTAGCATTTATCGAATTGCAATACAATGTTTTGTAGAAAAAAGAATTAAAAAATGTTCCAGTAAATATCAGTTTAAAATTGATGAAGAAAAAAATATTTTAACAATATATTTACTGAAAAAAAATTACCGAACTAAATCGATACGAGGAGGAAAGGTCTGTAGAATTTATTCGATAGATCCAAGGACATGGATAAAAAAAGGAAAATAAAGATGAATAGAGTTGGTAGGTTTCTTTGAAAACCACGCGTAATCTCTCTTATGGTGTCATTCAATACCATTTCTATCTAGAAATGCGGCATTGCTTGAATTTGAAACTCACTTCCATTCAACTTCTGCATTCTTCTACTCTTGTAGATTCAATGATACACTGTCGACGTCTCTGTCACAAGCTTTCTGATTCTTGTTCACTCTTATCATGATTTTTATTGGCTTTTATATACAAATACAAAGATAATATCATTGAAAATAAATAAATAAATACTGCTTCAAAGTTGGATTGTAAATAATAAATATTAAATTCTGTCAATATTTTAGTTTAAGATAGATTAGGAATTTATATAAAAATAAAGCGAAACTAAAAGAATTAATAAATTTTTGTTTTAAAGCCCTGAGTTGAATCACAATCTGTTTAATAAACATCGAGTAATTGTGCTCTCAATATTTATCTCAAACTTGTCGGAAAAATTTTTAATAAAATCAGATAAACAATGATTAAACAAATTTCGTTTTACTCTCGATTAAATAGGAATTGGGAAATTATTCTAGATGATTACACATGGCGATGGGTTGTGCTATGATTTCCGCGTGAATGGATTCAGCGGTAAAGGGTTACATGTACATAAAGGGGTAAGGAGCAGGGGGTGGATTTAGCAAAAAAAGAGAAACTATACAAGACGAAGGAAACAGGCAAAGGAAAAGTAGATAAAGATGGTATAGAGCACTTAAATAAGCATGAGTGGTCAAAGAACATACATCCACCTTTGATACGAAGTAGTACTGGTCTGTATTTCGTCAGACATGATATCCACATATATGCTATAAATTACCAATCGTGAAATGGTGCATCTTTCGTTACTTCCTTCTTCAATAAATGAACAAGCTCATCCGAACTATAATGTCGATTGACTATTGAATCATATCAAGCGTCCTTTGACATGAAGCACTCCGGTGCATTTAGCCTTTTATCCTCTTTGCTAGGGGCGATTATCTACGCTCGTTTAAACGTCCTGTCAATCGACAACACGTCTCTATCTCTCTTTTCACGCGTCACATGGCAAAACCAGAGAATTCTGTGTCCCCGGAATGTCTGGCGTGCACCAACCACTTTCTCTAACTTCACCCTTACGACTCTCAATCCCCTCGACCACGTTGTCGTCTTGGTGCAATTACTCGGTGACGCCAAGCTGCGAAATCTCCAAAGTCTTGACGGAAACTTCTCGACGCCGGATGTTACGCTCGAGGTTTGACGTAATCCACCGTATATCGGGGTAGAAGAAAGTCACCTCCTTCTACTGCTATATACATCTTAGACTCTAGAACTGTTGCTCAAATATCTACCAACAGCACCAAGACTTCTCTGACTCCAGTGACCTGGAACCTGAGAACTGCGGTCCTCCTCCACGAGTGGCAAACTATAACTTCAACTTGAACAACGTATGTCGTATATCTGAGCTTTAGATATTCATTTTCTTACTCAAATAGTTTATCTTTACTTGGAATAGTCGTTGGATAGTTTCTACAGCTTTACTGCTGCTTTTTCTCTAGTTTCAAGAGACTTACAAATACCAATAAGTTGATACTTTGAGCAAAGCTGGTTGGTGCTAAGTCAGTAATTAATAGAACGAGTGGCAAAGTGAAAACTTGTGTAATTTGTCATTGCCTGTGATGTTGGAAATTATTATATAGCCCATCTAGGATGATAATTCATTTTTATGTTCACCAATGTTGATACTGCCATCAACAAACTGTTTCTGATAAAACTTCAATATTCCTACTATTAATAGTGTTTTGAGAATGACGAATATTAGAGAACAACTGTCTATTTAGAGATGTTTATTTTTTAATAATAACGCTCCTGTGATCTTTATGAAGGATTTGTGCATTCAATCAGAGAAATCACAATCTGTGATATTTTTCAAGCTAAGCTGTGCTAAGAGATTTCAGTTCGAATCATTGGCGCGGATTTTATGACGCACAACGTGATTCTTGGAATATTTTATAAGAAAAGAAACACTTGGATTCCATTATGGGAATCGTGAAAAGCATCGACATGCTCCAATAGTCAGTCGTATCCGAAACACTTGAGTAAAAGGTGTCAGGATGTCCCGACTAAAAGACAGAGAAAAGAGAAAAATGAAGACAGAAATGAGAGGGAATAAGGGAAAGTTGAATTCAGGAAACAGAAGCTTTCGTAGGGAATTTTTAGAAATATTGAAATGCTCATGTCTCCTTACGCTTTAGCTCGTCACTCTATTCGCCACCCTTATATTTTTTACACTCTTTGCCCACACCTTTTCTACTCATTCTTCCTTTTCGATTCACTCCCCTTGGCAATTCTCTTTTTCAATCCCCAAGCCACCACGACGTTGGGTTCTTACGGTGTACGTTTCTCCTCAGCGATTGAATTGTCAACGCGATCTTCAGATTCCTTAACTAAATGCAACCAACCGAAGCATTTTACTTTTTCTCAGTCATCCGACATAAATGAAGATTTCCACCAACATTATTCCACTATCTTGCATTCAATTTTAATTTTTTTAATGCTCAACCAAATTTACAGCTTGTCTTACTTGATATATATTTTTTTAATTTAAACTTGAAAAATTTTTAATTTAACATTTGATTGAGAATTGTTTTAATTAAATCAAAATATCTCGTCTTTTTTTTACTCAATTATCACTAGCTTCACTGTAACTTGTTTCTGCAATCGTTTAATTTAAAAAAAAATTTAATTTTCACAGCTAAAATATATCTCCTATCCTTGTCCTTTTGACTCATCCTGAATATTGATGAATTACCCTTCAATTCTATCAATTAAATGTTTTATAAAAAATAAAAAAAACTTTTTAAAAGATGCTTAAAGAACAATTCAACATAGTGAAGTTTATTACATAAATGGAAAATGTTCATTACTATTCAGAATAGTAACCTCCACATTGATGATAATGAAACATCATTTCATCACTCTAGGAAATAGTGTGTTACATAGTTTGAATGATCGCAATTATCGTTATCGATATTCTAGATGCTGACGCTAGTCTTCTTCTACTTTCTTGAGTCTTCATGCTTTTGTTAGAAACGTTACCATATCAATAGGAGAACAAAAGAGGTTTCATTAGTAGCTCCAGGTGCATAAAATAACTTGGATCTTTCCAAATAAACTCCATCATGCGTAGATGCTGGCCTCGAGGGTATCATGATGGTGAATCGGTTTGGATAGACCGATCAACTTACACCATGGCTGATCTCTCTCTATTTTACTAATGCCCTTGAGGCACTGTAAAAGGTTGGTCCATCACTTGATCCCTTGATGCTATAGTGTTCAATATCCTTCGGCCTTTCAGTTGTCCTTTACATTGCCTTCAAGATCAGCGTCTGATCACATCTGATTAACTGGCCGTAACTCCTACCTAGTCATTATATAGCACACACTTGAATCAAGTTAGCTGGAACTCCCTTCGTACATGCATTAGAATGTATATTACGTTATAGTGTAGCTGACAATGGTTCGAATGAAATTAAATTAATCACTGTTATGTCATTGACTATATCTTTCATCGATTTATAGAATTTGAGTCCAACCATTCTGCTTTGTTTCACCAAATGGAGGTTTTTTTAATTAAATACTGAATTTTCAACACGACTTCAGCAAGAATTACTTCCATTAACTACGAAAGAGTATGTTGTTAAAATGGTTTAATTACTTATTGAAAGGATTAATGGTCCAGAGACTTGGAATTACAGTGCTTTGATTTCAAAAAGTACCAAGTCTGGGAATTGAATAAATATTCCATTATTTGAACATAAGTTTAATGTACATATGTGAACAGAGAAAATTCAATTACATTATTTGGAAACCGTTTTTCTTTTTTGATTATATAAATGATTAAACAAACAGGAACTATAGGTCCACACCTCCAGCAACTTCCTGATATTGTTTATCAGTGATTTCTGAACATATTCATTAGTGATTGATGATGTCAAATGTTCTTCTTTGTTTGAAAATGA